TTTAAGCGACTTACGCACTTAAAATACACCTCTGCTAAAGAGAACGCAGCCACCCTCTTTTTCGAACTTACGGCAGTTCGATGTGGCCATGCGACTGCTATAAATAGGGGCACCTTATTGGTTCTCTTCCCTTCTTCTGTTCTCCTTTTTCGACCATACGGACGGACCATCATCGAGAAAGTATCATTTTAACCAACTACATCAACCGAAGGAATTTATCAACTTCATCAACGTGGAGTATTTACCACATACATCATTTACTTTGCTAAGTATCAATTTGAATTATACATCTACATTTCAATTACTGTTTGGAACATCTTTGTGTTATATTTATATTGAATTCTCATTCTTGTACTATTGAACTGCAATATTGTCTCATTAAATTGCATATGAATTACATACATGCGCATTTGCATTATTATACAAATACTTGAGTGCTTCACATCGATTACCCTTACACGTGAGAAGCAGAAGCCACTTATTCCAGGCCTCAGCAATTTCCCTTCTCAATATCGTACATAGGCGTTTACCTCCGTAAGCCCTCCAACAAAATTTTTAAGTTAAACTTTTAAGAAAATGTAATTTTCAAAGAAAAACGGAGGAAAATCGTTAAGAAAAATTTGCAAGTGAAAAAATAATAAGGAAAAATAATTCAGGAAAGTTTTGCAAATTAAACAAAAAAAATGTTTGAGGAAAAACGCGTTTGAGGAAAATTTGTATGATAAAAACTTAGAAAATTCCTTTTTTTAAGGAAAATGTAAATTTCAAGAAAATTTGTATGAACTTTCGATTTGGAAAACTGAGAAAATTTTCTGAGGAAAATTTGTAACAAAAGAACCTAAAAAAAAAATTGCCGAAAATTGGGAAAAATTATAAAGTAAAACTTCTTAAGAATATATAATTTTGAAAGGAAAAACGAAGAAAAATTAAGAAAATTTTTGCGAACAATTTGCAAGCGAAAAATTAAGAAGAAATAGTTCAAGAAAGTCTATGAAGGAAAATTTTTTTCAGAAAAATCCCCAAGAAACTTTTGAAAAAGGGAAAAAATAATAGAATTCAGGAAATTATTATATGTACATATTTCTTAACATTTGAATTACAACAAAAAAAAACTAATCTGCGAAAATTTTTTATCAACTCTTGGTCACTGTACCCCACAATTGAGATGCAAAGCAACACATCAACCAACGCACAGCATAAACAATATAGGCAATGGCAAAGTGGCGTGACCCAGCTGCGTAAACAAACATGCGTGGAAAAGAAATTCATAAAAAAACCCACCAAACAAAACAGCAACATATATACATATGTATATACGTACCTACATACACACCAACGCACAAACAAAGGCACAGCATACACCATTGGCATGCGTACATACATACAATACCTATATGCAACAGCACATAAACAAAGGCACAGGTCCCAGCACTGCAGGCAAAACCAAGGTGGTGCCATCAGGCGCGCAAACGAATTAGCACGCCAACTACGAAAAATGCATTAGAACGAACAAAACACATGGGGGAACATATGTACATGTATACCTACATACGACACACATCAGCAAACAAACGTGATCAGGTGCGTTAGCCAATGAGCACGCACAGGAAGGGTTACGTCCCATCGCAACCAACAACACCCAATAAGCCAAAAGGCAACAGCTGTGTACAGCAACGTAACCTAGCAAAGGTGTGCCGCGTTTAGATAAAAAAGCGGCCAAGAAACGAATATCGATCTCAACACACCATGTCGTCATAGAGTACAAGTGAAGGAGACGAATACTCCGCCGAATACCCAACCAACGACTCCTTACGGGTTAGGTTGAGGAGGATGACGGCACCAGAGGCCGTCAAGATCAAGAAAGAGAAATCCGGTCAGCGAGGGAAGTACAGACGACAACGAAACAGAGGTGTTCGGCGAACTAGGGGATGACAGGAGGAAAAAGGGGCGTTGGAAAGAGCCATCACACCCATAGAAATTTCTAGTGACGACGAAGACGACAACCAACCTAAAAGGCGGGGCGAAGTAGACATAATCAGGACGAGCAACGCGCAGGAATACGCCTTCGCATTTTTACTGACACCACCGCAACTACTCCAGAAGAAGGACCGCCACCAAAGGGGTATATTTGCGAGGCCATCAGCAATACCACACAAGATGACGGGGAGATGAGCTTGATGGCGAGCGAGGGTTTACTCCACGAAGTCGGTGAGGAGGCCACTAACCACAACTCCCATTCCGAGGAAGAAGACTGGATGGGCGGAATAATGAAGTGGCTGGACGCCAACGAGGCTGAACTAACAAACGCCCCAACTAGTTGGCATAACCTTATCGGCGAGGCAAAACTGCCAACGGAACTAACAGAAGACCTATGGCGCCACCTCCAGAAAGAACGAAAGCGAGGAACCAGGCCATCGTTCCGAAGAAACCCAGAAGCACGTTGGTACCGGATCCGCATTTAACGAAATGGAAACGTGACGGTAACAAACGCCTCTCCGAAGTAGATGGGGGTGTGAGAACCCCAATCCTAGGGCTTTGAGCCCCAAAACACTCACATATATATATGTATATATATATAATATTTTGAATTGTACATAAAATATATACAAAATTGTAAATAGACGTTAAGTACACGGAATTTGAATCCGGAGCTTTTTGTCTTTAAATGAGTCGGCTCATATTTCTTCCCCGTCCAGGAGCACCGACTGTACTGCTGTAATCAAAAGTTTCCTACGGCATGGCTTCGGGCCGGCCACGTTCGCCATCAGCCAGCTTAGAGCCACCTTGCTCTGTGCAGCTTTTTCACATATTCCTTTAAATGTGCTCCCAGAATGTGAGTTTGTTGTCAAGCTTCACCCTTAGGTATTTTGTAGACCTAGAAGTTGTCACGGGCTGAGGTCTGACCATCATGTTTGTAATTGTTGGGATTCGTTTTTTGGTGAGGAGCTCTGTTTTGGCTGTAGCCAATTGCCGGCCGTGATCGCTCATCCATGCAATGACGCTGCGCATTACCTGGTTCAGCTTGAGCTGCGCTGGCTAGATGTTTCTTGCTTTATGACGGCGGCCGCGTCGTCCACGAAAGCGACAAGGAAGCCGCTCTCCGGAATTTCCGTGCGCAACAGATTGCCATACGTGGCGTTTCAGAGGTCCGGCCCAAGTACAAACACCTGTGTCGCTCCGCCGCTTATAGGTATTTTTCTCGGACCTTGTGTTGTGTCTCTGAGGTAGTCCCGAATCATATCTAGCAAGTATGTTGGAACTTTGAATGACCTTTCCAAAGCCTCCAGCATGTCGTCCCATCTCGCCGAGTTGAAGGCGTTCTTGACGTCCAGTGTGACTAGTAGCACTATTGGCCACGCTTGGTGGCAGGCTTCTTCGGCTTTATGTACCGCCTCGACTATTTCCCAAATTGCTCCTATGGTTAAGTGTCCCTTCCTGAAGCCATGTTGTCGGGGTGAAGGCCTTCCTCGTCTTCTATGGCTGACGACAAGCGTATTTTGAGCAGACTCTCCATCATCTTGCCTACTGTGTCTAACATGCAGAGTGGCCGGAACGATGAAGGAGAGTTGGAGTCCCCTTTGCCCTTAGGTATAAGAACCAGCCTCGCCTTCTTCGATTGTTTAGGTAAGACTTGGGCCTTAAAGCAGCTTTTGAATATGTTAAGCAGGAGGTCCGGGCTCATCTTCGCTGCTAACCGCTGCTAACCTGATTGCCTCCGCTGGTTTGCCATCGGGGCCTGGAGCCTTGCCGGCTTTCATGCTTCGCATGGCTAACTTCAGCTCGTCTGCCGAAGACAGTGGTGCCTCGGGTTTCTCCTCGACGAACACTCTAAGTGCTCTTATTGGGTGTGTGGGAAATAGTGAATCCACTATATTCTTAACCCGGACCCCATCCATAGCTTTTGTCTGGCCCCAGGGATCACAATCCACTTCGTCACATAACACTTTCCAGCAGTTCCGTTTACTCTTCTGTATCTCGGCTCCAAGTGCTTTCTAAGCGCTTTTGAAAGCAGCTGCTCTGGTCAGCGCTTCACGTATGCCACGAGCATGCGTTGCAAGTCTGCGCATTCTATGGCAGGCCCTTCGCAGCTCTGCAATTCGGTCATTCCACCAGTATACCTGCTTTTTACTTGACCATGCTCTCCTCTGTGGCATTGAAGCATTGCATGCCCGGTGTATGCAGCGCATCGTTTAATCCACCAGCTTATAACAAGACGCCCTGTTGTAGATCTCTCCCGTTCTGGGTGAAATGCCTTGGGAATCTGCTAGGAGTGATGTATCGAACTTGGTAATATCGACCCTAGAAGGTGATGCAGTTATGGTCGCTACCACTCATGTCTTCCATCACCCTCCATCCATCAGCCCTTCGAAGAAGGCTCTCTGACACTAGGGTTATGTCAGGGATTGAGTATCCAAAACCCGGCCTTCGATATGTGGGGCTCGTTCCGGTGTTGAGGATGATCAGCCCAATTCGGGCTGCCATTTCCAGGACCAGTCTTCCCCTGGTGTTTGTTTGAAACATACCCCATTTCACGCCCCTTGCGTTGAAATCTTCGGTTATATCTTCAAGGCCTTCGAGCTTTTCCCTGAAGACAACAACTGCGTCACACAGACTGAGCAACGTTCGACCCCGCTGCTCTCTGCGTGATAGTTTGGGTTAGCAATCCATATCGCGACCGAGCCTGATTGGTCAACATACCAGGTTTCCTTTGTTCTATAGGGTTGACTGAGGATGATAGTGTCTGATATTTGTTGAAGAACCGATTGGTCCAGCAGG